GTAAGAGCTTTATTCCCAGGGTCCAAGAGAAGCGTCCGTAATAACGAGGTGGCCGTATTAAGCGGGATTCGACTGTATAGGACGTTATTAAAAAGTGAACAGAAAGAACTAGTCCCTGCTGATTTCGTCTAAATTAAAGAGAATTACTGTAGTTGACGATTTGTTGTTGTTGTTTCTCATCAGTATCCCGCTCGTACAAAGTACTATCCGGTGCCAGAAAAGAGCTAGAGGTGCGTAAGGTATGTAACTTAAACTGGTTATTGTGTGCTTTAAAAACCTGCGGATATGAAATACAGTCCAGTAATCGATGTCTGCCGTGGCCATTTTGAATATTAAATACGCGGTAAATGGGTACGAGGTCTGGAATTGAAATCCTCGGGAACCAACAAGCGACACGAGAGATGGGATTTTGGACTTGATTAAATATTCGATATTAGACCTCCCCCCACCACTGATGGGACGAACCTTATGTTTAAAATTCAAACGGCCGCTACAAGTGCGCGCATCCATTAATTAGAATTAAGGTTTGTTAATTCCTTTTGTAAATCTAATTGGACACGAGGGCCTCTTTGACTGCCCTCCAAAGCGGCTTTCTCTTTTTCAGCTGGCAAACTTTGTGAAAGAACGAAAATGTACAAAACAGCAAGTTCTACACACGTTATTTGTCATTCTAATTATGGTCACTTCCTTTTTTACAGGATCGTGTGCGATCAAGAAAAGACAAGTGAGCTGACTGTAAGAAATACTAAAAAGCCTGTAAAATTTATATATATGTAAACTGACGTGTCAGTCTTCACCCTGTGAGGGAGGGGAGGGTGGTCAACGTCGTTCCCAGGGTCTCTGGGGAGCAAGACCCTGGGAACGAGGCTGGGAGATGGCTATAGAAATCGTTAAATAGCGTCAGATAAATAGAAAGTAAAAAATTAATGCGAATTGCTACAATTTTATTTTCTCAAATGTAATAATTATTTTTGTACGAAAATTTTTGCCGCGTGAAGGCTACCGTGTTGATGCATAATAAAAAGAATGCTGAAATAAGCCATTTTACAGCTTTGTTCTAAGTCTCTTGGCTTTGAAACTCGTTTTGATTGGAAACCTCGGTGCAATTAAAATGTTAATCATAACTATAACAAATTCTCAAATCTGATTAGCTGTCAGCTGTCCTGATTTTAGCATTAATAGGACAGTACGCGTCATGCCTAAATAGTAGACCAATAATTCATACTTGGCTGCGAGGGGAATAAAACTACATTTCTTTTGTTTTATTCCCCAAGCCTCGGAGCCAAGTATGAATTTTAATATATCGAAAATAGTCTATTGGACAGTACTCNGGCTTTCTCTTTTTCAGCTGGCAAACTTTGTGAAAGAACGAAAATGTACAAAACAGCAAGTTCTACACACGTTATTTGTCATTCTAATTATGGTCACTTCCTTTTTTACAGGATCGTGTGCGATCAAGAAAAGACAAGTGAGCTGACTGTAAGAAATACTAAAAAGCCTGTAAAATTTATATATATGTAAACTGACGTGTCAGTCTTCACCCTGTGAGGGAGGGGAGGGTGGTCAACGTCGTTCCCAGGGTCTCTGGGGAGCAAGACCCTGGGAACGAGGCTGGGAGATGGCTATAGAAATCGTTAAATAGCGTCAGATAAATAGAAAGTAAAAAATTAATGCGAATTGCTACAATTTTATTTTCTCAAATGTAATAATTATTTTTGTACGAAAATTTTTGCCGCGTGAAGGCTACCGTGTTGATGCATAATAAAAAGAATGCTGAAATAAGCCATTTTACAGCTTTGTTCTAAGTCTCTTGGCTTTGAAACTCGTTTTGATTGGAAACCTCGGTGCAATTAAAATGTTAATCATAACTATAACAAATTCTCAAATCTGATTAGCTGTCAGCTGTCCTGATTTTAGCATTAATAGGACAGTACGCGTCATGCCTAAATAGTAGACCAATAATTCATACTTGGCTGCGAGGGGAATAAAACTACATTTCTTTTGTTTTATTCCCCAAGCCTCGGAGCCAAGTATGAATTTTAATATATCGAAAATAGTCTATTGGACAGTACTCGTCCTCGCGCATGCGCACTTGAATGGGCTTTCTATCAAAACGAAGTCACCTTTTGCCTCACTTCCACTCATAGGCCAGGTTGGTCAGCTTACAACTGTAAGTTAGAACACTGGGACGAGTTTAAGAGTTCAGTCTGCAGTTTTAAATTTTCACGTACATGGCTAAGGATACCCTTCCACTGTACTCGTGCCTCAACTTAACAAATCGTCTTGCTAAGTAAGTGTTTGGAAATAATACAACATTCTTTATTGCTTTGTTCACAATTGCAAACAAATTACAATGCATAAAATGAATAGATAGTAAATAAAATGATGAGACAACGAACCTACAGAACACTTTTCTGAGTGCCTCGCAGGTTCTTGAGTCACGCTAACAAGTTTGATTTTTTTGCAACAAAAGTGAAGTGTTTGTGGACTATTAAAAGCATTTTGTTATATAAACACCAGTGAGATACCACGTCAGCTTTCACATGTGAAAATAACATGTTATCTTCATACATGAAATATCACGTTTCCTACGGCTACATAATAAATCCCGCCTTTCACAGCTAAAAACTTTTAAAGTGAAATGGTTCGATATTTCATCACGTGTTAACGTAATAAGTAGATCATTACATGGCCGCTTGGAGATACGAAATTTCTCTTCTCGTGTTGAAAAATATTTCACGAGTGAGCGCAGCGAAATTTCGTATCTCCACGCGGCCATGTAATAACCTCTATATATTTCTCTGTGTTTAGAGAATGGTACCAACATTTAGAAAATACGCAAAACCTAGTTGACTCTTACGCAAGCCAAGCAATGGGCAGTCCAATTCTAAGGGTTTTGTTCCTACCATTCCACATGACTGCCCCCCAGAGGAGGATCGAATAGTATCCCATGATGCATTTTTCCAGAAGCATCACGCAATATCGCAGTCATAGCAGATTCCATCTTGAAATAAGGTCGTTTTCTCGTCGGCTTTTTTCTCACTCGATTTCCAGTAAAAGTAAAAAATTACATTATTTCGTTATTTGACATGATTTCTCCGATTAGCAATGGCTTAAGAGCGAACTTTCCACTTAGAAACATTTATTTTCACGGTTTCAATTAGTCTTCCCATCACAAAGTGTTCAGTGACCCACAACCAGGTCATGAATATTCAAGATTTTTTGGAATATATGTTGAAATCTTCCAAATGTGGACCTCACGCCAGCAAAAAGAAGTCCTGAATATTGTACAGGCCAAGAAGTACCCAGAAGTACCCACATTTTGAAGACTTTTTTGTCCACCAAAGATGGCTGAAATTTCGAATCTTTTATCACATTTCAACGACATGTGTCATAATATATGTTTAAAGCCCAGAATCTGACTGCCCCCCGTAGCCAAAGCCCGCTCAACAGCTTCAGTACGTGGCCTAGGTACAAAAAACATTGTTCGAGGTGCCTCGTACATTGTAGGAATGAACCCTGGAGGTCGGTTTAAACATGTTCTCTAAACCATCAGGATATAGGTTATTCAGAGATTTGAAAACACTTATTGCGAGCTGCTTAAGCGTCTTTGCAAGCGTCTTTATATTTGACTAGCCTGGACTTAAACTTACAGAGGCAAGTATTTTTAAAGAAAGTTCGTTATTTCAAAAAAAGCTTGCATGTTAGATTTTTAATCTATGACTGTTAAGCTTTTAGAAAATGTACGGTTTGTTAGGGTTATTATTAAAGCTAGAAGCGCTAGCGCGATCCGCGCGAAGACTGTTCTGAAGGTGGGGTGATACCTTAATTTGGAAGCGATGACTCCATCGTTTTGGCAATGAACTTAGAGGGATTATAGGAAACTAATTAGAGAGGTTAATTAGGGATGATACGTCTTCAGGAGTTAAAGTAATCACGCCTTTTCTTTGAGAAATGGATAGTTGACCATGGCGAAATGCCTAATTGTAAGAAAAGGCCATTTGCACAATGACGTCATTTTACTACCACGACCAGAATCCAGGATTTTGTTTTCTAGTGCAAATTTTAAATATGAAGGGAAAAACGAAAAGGATTCTGGTCATAGTGGTAAAAAAATGACGCCATCATGCAAATGGCCTTCTCAAAAGATGCCAATTTACAGCGAGGCTAAGTGCGAAGCCAATGATATGAAAATTGATTTCATTTTTATTCTCATGCAAATAAAACTCATTTTCATAAGAAGGGTTTTTAATTGAAGTAAAAGTTTTTGGAACTCGCAAATAACCTGTTTCAAGAGAGAATACCTCATTCTCTCTTGCCTGTTTTAAAAGTTTCATAGAATTCTTTGGTGAAGCCATACTCTCTTGATGATTTATTATCCTCAAGAGATCGAAGCGTGGTAAGCAGCTCCTTAATAGAAATGTTATGTTCCCGGAGAGTCTACCTACATATCACCAATAACACATTTTTATTATTATTAAAATACACCTACAGACTGATCTTTCTGAATGTTAACTAGTTTCCTGATGTAATTTAGTTGTGTAACTTGCCTCAAATCCGGCTGAGTGCTTGTCTGAAAGATTTAATTTAGATAAATATTCTTTCCCGGATTTTTTCCAACGTTCCCCTGCTATTTTTCGGTTTTGAACAAACTGTTTTTAATCCTTAGACTGTAAGAAATTATTGTAATAATCTTTGCATTTTGTCCTTCAGTAGCATTTAAAAAGAACAGTATTAAAGTTCGGATGAGACCTTAAACTTCTGTTAAAATATAAATCCAAGCTTTCGCCGGCGATTGACGGCATCATCAGGGATGGGAAAATATTCCGCGTGGGGCTATATATAAAAATTAATATAATTTTGTTTTGTAAACTAGAATAGCAGGAGAGAATGTGTACGTTGAAGTGTGTGAATAAGTAAATAGCAAGAAGTGGCAGCTTTCTTAAGGGAGAAGCACCCGTTGGAGCTAAACAGCAAATAAGTCACACACGTCACTAAAGTTATCGTTTTTTGTCCGATTCCCTTTTTGCATCTTGTTCCTCCTGAAGCTCTTGCCCGGCTTCTCTAACTTTTCTGACTTTCTTCTTTTCTCGTTCAACTCGAAGCAAGATTTCAATTCCGTAGATAACTGTCGCTAAAGCGATGACAATCGCGGTGCATGGATCTATAAGCCATGCTTTGCGAATGTATTCTAACACCAAAGCACTTGTAATCACACCGGCCGACATTCCAGAACCACTAAGAGCGTCTATTGAGTCTGCGACAAGAGCTGAGCTTTCAAGTTTCTTTGCTAAACACATTTTGACGAGAAAAAGCAGAAAATAACCCACGCAACTGATTACTGACATGATGAGCAAATCTTGGGCATGACGCGGTTTATAATTTCTCGCGATGCAGATAACAGCTCGTCCGACCACCAAAACCCCTGAGAAGATAAAACAACTGGCAATGATGGTGCAGGCTTTCCACTCCNCTCGTCCGACCACCAAAACCCCTGAGAAGATAAAACAACTGGCAATGATGGTGCAGGCTTTCCACTCCCTCCTCGTCCGACCGTTGCCATTTATCCCGTAGTAAAACCTCCATATAACAGATCCTGATGATATAATGGCCAGAACAGCGTCGAGTGCTACTGCAAAAGCGGAGGAACTATCCGAGGTCTGAGAGATGACTAACGCACCGATCGCAAGAACCAATGTGAAAACTATAGAAGCAAGGCAAACAACAATTGTCACCTTGCGCCATTTCTCTAATTTCTCAATGGATAATCCTCCCTGTGTATGATTATCGCTGACAAGCTGTGTTTCATCTGTAGTTAACAACAGTGATTCTTTCTCACTCGCTCTCTGTGAAGATTTTTCGTGAGATGGAATATTTTCTTCGGATTCCATCTCCTTGGCAAACACCAAACCTCTCTTTTAGAGGCGAGGAAAATGTTCGAGGAATGAATGGAGATAACTTATTTTTGTCTAAATTTGCCTTTGAATGTATTATTTTAAACAAATAACTCGTCGTAATGTATGCTACCTATTTATCCTAGGGTCATACCTTTGAATTCTAATCAGCACCGTTCGTTTACTTTTAGAGAAGAATAAGATGCAGACTATCGTCTTGTATAAATTTTATGGATTGAAAACAGTGTTGTAAAGCTTGATCATGTATTGATAACTGAGTTGAAATCACGATTGACTGATAGTTTGTTATATTGGTTCTCATTTCTTGTTATCTGGCTGCTAAGGAAGCAGTGAATATGCGAAAATATGTTGGCCCATTACTTAAATCATCACACTCACACTTAAATAAACAAAATAGGTGTTTGTTTTTATTTTTATACCTATTTTTTCGCGATCGCAATTCCCTTAAGATATTCTCCAGAAATATCTTGTGTTCGACTTTTATATTTTAAAGAGGGGTAAAGATGCTGAGGATAAATTAGGGGATTTAGTATATACACACTCAGTGATCATGGTGATTTAAGCAATCTGATTGGTTCGCTATCTCAGACTATTCAACAATATTCACCTCCTAGCGAGTGGATAATGTGTGAGCTCGGTGTTTTTCCCATTTTTTTAGAGAATGATCTTTTAAAAGTAATTTATTTTCACGGTTTCAATTAGTCTTCCCATCACAAAGTGTTCAGTGACCCACAACCAGGTCATGAATATTCAAGATTTTTTGGAATATATGTTGAAATCTTCCAAATGTGGACCTCACGCCAGCAAAAAGAAGTCCTGAATATTGTACAGGCCAAGAAGTACCCAGAAGTACCCACATTTTGAAGACTTTTTTGTCCACCAAAGATGGCTGAAATTTCGAATCTTTTATCACATTTCAACGACATGTGTCATAATATATGTTTAAAGCCCAGAATCTGACTGCCCCCCGTAGCCAAAGCCCGCTCAACAGCTTCAGTACGTGGCCTAGGTACAAAAAACATTGTTCGAGGTGCCTCGTACATTGTAGGAATGAACCCTGGAGGTCGGTTTAAACATGTTCTCTAAACCATCAGGATATAGGTTATTCAGAGATTTGAAAACACTTATTGCGAGCTGCTTAAGCGTCTTTGCAAGCGTCTTTATATTTGACTAGCCTGGACTTAAACTTACAGAGGCAAGTATTTTTAAAGAAAGTTCGTTATTTCAAAAAAAGCTTGCATGTTAGATTTTTAATCTATGACTGTTAAGCTTTTAGAAAATGTACGGTTTGTTAGGGTTATTATTAAAGCTAGAAGCGCTAGCGCGATCCGCGCGAAGACTGTTCTGAAGGTGGGGTGATACCTTAATTTGGAAGCGATGACTCCATCGTTTTGGCAATGAACTTAGAGGGATTATAGGAAACTAATTAGAGAGGTTAATTAGGGATGATACGTCTTCAGGAGTTAAAGTAATCACGCCTTTTCTTTGAGAAATGGATAGTTGACCATGGCGAAATGCCTAATTGTAAGAAAAGGCCATTTGCACAATGACGTCATTTTACTACCACGACCAGAATCCAGGATTTTGTTTTCTAGTGCAAATTTTAAATATGAAGGGAAAAACGAAAAGGATTCTGGTCATAGTGGTAAAAAAATGACGCCATCATGCAAATGGCCTTCTCAAAAGATGCCAATTTACAGCGAGGCTAAGTGCGAAGCCAATGATATGAAAATTGATTTCATTTTTATTCTCATGCAAATAAAACTCATTTTCATAAGAAGGGTTTTTAATTGAAGTAAAAGTTTTTGGAACTCGCAAATAACCTGTTTCAAGAGAGAATACCTCATTCTCTCTTGCCTGTTTTAAAAGTTTCATAGAATTCTTTGGTGAAGCCATACTCTCTTGATGATTTATTATCCTCAAGAGATCGAAGCGTGGTAAGCAGCTCCTTAATAGAAATGTTATGTTCCCGGAGAGTCTACCTACATATCACCAATAACACATTTTTATTATTATTAAAATACACCTACAGACTGATCTTTCTGAATGTTAACTAGTTTCCTGATGTAATTTAGTTGTGTAACTTGCCTCAAATCCGGCTGAGTGCTTGTCTGAAAGATTTAATTTAGATAAATATTCTTTCCCGGATTTTTTCCAACGTTCCCCTGCTATTTTTCGGTTTTGAACAAACTGTTTTTAATCCTTAGACTGTAAGAAATTATTGTAATAATCTTTGCATTTTGTCCTTCAGTAGCATTTAAAAAGAACAGTATTAAAGTTCGGATGAGACCTTAAACTTCTGTTAAAATATAAATCCAAGCTTTCGCCGGCGATTGACGGCATCATCAGGGATGGGAAAATATTCCGCGTGGGGCTATATATAAAAATTAATATAATTTTGTTTTGTAAACTAGAATAGCAGGAGAGAATGTGTACGTTGAAGTGTGTGAATAAGTAAATAGCAAGAAGTGGCAGCTTTCTTAAGGGAGAAGCACCCGTTGGAGCTAAACAGCAAATAAGTCACACACGTCACTAAAGTTATCGTTTTTTGTCCGATTCCCTTTTTGCATCTTGTTCCTCCTGAAGCTCTTGCCCGGCTTCTCTAACTTTTCTGACTTTCTTCTTTTCTCGTTCAACTCGAAGCAAGATTTCAATTCCGTAGATAACTGTCGCTAAAGCGATGACAATCGCGGTGCATGGATCTATAAGCCATGCTTTGCGAATGTATTCTAACACCAAAGCACTTGTAATCACACCGGCCGACATTCCAGAACCACTAAGAGCGTCTATTGAGTCTGCGACAAGAGCTGAGCTT